AGGAGCCAACGGGCAACAGGGCAGCCTGCCAAGACAGAGCTGGCGCCCACGGCCTCCAGGCCAGCAGCTAGGCCTGGTCCACACCACCTTGGCTCTGGGTATGAAATATCGGCCAAAATAGCCATGAGGTCTGTGGCATTTTGCTCAACATCTCTAACACCCAGGATTTTACAGTCCCACAATCTCTGATCCGTGATTCTTCTTCTGTTAAGGAGGGAGAGGGTGGAGAAGAGAGTCCTCATGACCATCAACCATAGTATCTGTAGGCCCTTAACAGTAAGTCTCAGGAAATCATAGCTAGCATCCATTAATACTGACTTCCTGGCGTCCAACAGCGACCAAGAATCCACTGCACTTCTGTATCGGTACTTTAGATACCGCTCAGGAATTAAACTCTCTAAGAACACCGTGAACCACTGAAGGACTATCAAGTAACAGATATATCTGAGCTGTTTCATCCTTAGTAACTCTGAGATTGGCATCACCACTGTCTACAGCTGAGCCTGGGGCCACCATGAAAGTAGGAGGGTGGCCAAGGAGCATGCTGGGATTAAATGCCAGGCTGCAAAGCCTCTCAGGGTCTGTCTCCCAGCCTCCACCCTCACCTGCATTCTCTTTCACCCAGCTGGGTACTGCCAGGCACTCAGAGAATAGTGTCCCTTGGGCACACAGCAAGAGAGCTGCAGCAGGGAGCCTTGGTTTAACATTCCTGACATGGGGGGAGGGGCCTTGCCTGATTCAGCAGCATCCAAAATTCAAAGACTCATTTTCCTTCCAGTAATAATGGAAAATAATCCTGCTGAAAAGCATGCCTTTAGAGCTGGAGGGAGGGGGGGTAGAGGGCCACTTCTGTCCACACTCAGATCCTATGCAGGGCATGAAATCTGATCTAAATGTTGGGGGGAAGGGATGTTAGGCACAGGGACAATAGATACACGCAACTGACCTGAGACCAGGGAAGAATCACAGAGGCCCCTTTTGCGTGGGAACCTGGAGTAGCAGAAGGGTTAGAGCCAGCTGTGTGTTACCCTGCCAGTGGGCCACTCACAGCCGAGCGCTGTTTCCCACAGGGGCCAGTGTAAAGATTGCTTCCAGAGCTGACTCTGCCCCGATGGAGTGTTTACTTACAGATAAGACCGCCAGCTTCCACTATATTTAGTGCATGAAAATCCACAGGTGTTGTGACTCCAGGAACTGCTTTGGGTTCTGAGTTTTCAGAATGCCCTCCCTTCTCAGTTCTCAGTTCTAGTGCAGGTGAGCTGATTTCTAGCAGCTGCAGATACCCACCACACACACCTGCTCCCCAGCCCAGAGGTAGTGTAAATACCTGTCTGTTTGTGATACATTCCTGGGCTGGGGTGGGGGTGGGAGGAGGCTGTTTCTATTTTCTATTTCAATTCTAATTTAAAAATTAATGCCATGCATAATAAGAACCCTCTTTTGATTTGGTTTGAACTGAACTAATTTTTTATTAAAAAACGTTGGGCAGGGTGCCGTGAGATGGATCACTGGGTAAAGGTACCTGCCACTAAGACTGATGGCTTGCCTTTGACCCCTGGGACCCATATGATAGAATAACCAACTCCTACAAGTTGCCCTGTAACGTCCTGCACTCACACATGTGCACAACCAATCATGAGTATTAAATTTTAGTTATGGTTTTATGTTACTTATTGCGTGTACATGGGAGTCGCGCAACGCACATGTGGAGGTCAGAGGACAACTTTCGGGAAGGAATTGGTTCTCTCCTTTCATCACCTGGGACTCAGGGATTGAACTCTGGTCCTCAGGCTTGGCAGCAAGCACTTTCACCAGCTAAGCCAGCTCGCCACCTTTAACTTTTATTTCTAACAAATTAGTTCAATCAGGTTTTTTGGCCTACTCAAAAGCAGCTGGGAGGTAGGAGTGTCTTCCGTCTGCCTCCTTGAGAAACACAGGGTGGCCACACAGTGCACTGTGGAGAGAGCCAGCCCTGAAGCAGCCCTAGAATCCATCTGACTTTTAGGTCTCTTCCTCTATATACAGTTGCTCTGACTCATTGTTGGAAAGCCAATACTAAGACTTAACACAGGACCTCAGACTTGGTGACTATTCCCCAGACATCATCAGACCTTCAGTGGGTGCTTCCCACATGATGCACAAAGGAACAGCTAGCTGGGAAAAGTTGCCAGCCTGTCAGAGGAATTCCTTCCTACCTAAGTGGAAATGGATCTATCACCGGGCAACTCTACATTTCTTCAACCCTGGAGAGGGGCTGGTGTATGAGGAGCATCTGTGTGCAGTGCAGGGCTATAGAGATAAGTCAGGGCGGTGAGTGTTGAGAGTAGGACCTCGAAGCCAGATCTTTGTGGCTGCCTCCATCTATGCAATAGGAATATGGCCCCCTCTCTCAGGTTTTGAGACCTCCTGGTTAATATATGCAAACCTATGTACTCAGGAAGACTTAAGGCCCTAGTCAAGCACAAGAAATTCCATTTCCTCATGGTTTTAGGCTTCAACAGACCTCTTAAGCAAAGCCTCATGCGCTATCCATGTTGAAGGATGGAATTGTCTAGACCAATCTTGGGAGTATCCTCTTACACACACACACACACACACACACACACACACACACACACACCCCTAAGTTCCTAAAGCAATGCAGGTGGCTGTTGCTTCTCATGCTATTCTCCAAGGTCCCTTTGGAGAAACTCTCTACGTTAAGAAGCAGTCTAGTTTAAGCTGCTTTGGGGACAATGCCCCAGGGATTGAGAGAACCATCTAGTTAAACCCAGAACAGGTAGGCCTCATAAACTAGGTCAGGAACATGATAAAACCAACCCTGTTAACCTGGCCCAGCTGCCCCAGATCTTTTGGCATCACTCACAGAAATCTAAGAAAGGACTGTCCAGTCAAGAGGCTGATCTGTGTGTGGTTCATCTGCCAGTGCAGCACATTTCTAGAGAGTGTTTGTCCCTGAGGTCCCACACTAGAGATCACGTGAAGCAGGAGGCAGGAAACCATACCTATTTTCTGCTCTCCTGCAAGTACTTGAAGTTAGGTGGTCATACAGGTCTCACAAACCTCTCCTTAGACTCAGGGTGAAGGGAAAGTAGGCTGATTAGCATGGCATCAAGCTGCTCTTGACATCTCAGATGAAGCCTAGAACACTCCTACCTCAGCCTTCCGTAAGGCATGTTTGGAGCTAAGTCACTTACCAGCTAAGTTGCTGGAGTAGGGTCATCTCGGTCGAGCACTGGCCTTTGCTGTGGGAAGTCCTCTTGGGTCTTGTTAACGTCAGCATCTTCCACCAACAGTAATCCTAGATTACGATCAAGAATGTTGCTGTCCCATCTTAGTTACCCAAGTGGCTCCTCAGCCAGAGAAGTTCAGAAGTGCGTTTCTGAAATCCTGGATACTGGGTGGACAGCAGGAGCTCACTCTAAGGTCTAAGGAACGGAAACACTAGTTCTACTAAAACGGATGGGGAGACTAAAGAATGGTCTTCCTTAGGTCAGGTGCTTGTGGTCAACATCCCAGCAACAGGGCCTATCAACTCACTCTGGGGAACTGCATTTCACCATTTCACACATGGGTTATTATGCATGTAAATATTGGTTCAGACAAAGTCTGGACTCAAATGTTTCTGGCATCAGAATGAGGCGTTACAACACATCCAGGTAAATATCCAGGCTTTGGCCTTCTGGCTGCCAGTGGCCCAAGTCCCAATCCTCCAGGGACAAAAACACCATGTCCAACATTCGAAGCAGTAAACCTTTGCCAGTTGTGTGGGAGGAGGGCAAAGGAGAACAAAACACGTTGGAGTCTGCAATGGAGGTGAAGAACCGATGCGAGCCAGTCAAGGCCACTAATAAGAACACAGGAAGGGGCAGGTGCCTGGTAAGCCAGAGGAAGTGGGGACACAGACTGACATTTAGCTGAATTTATAGAAGCTAAGTGTGTGTGGTAGGGTACAAGGGAAAGAGCTATCTATGAAAACAGAAGTAGATTTGGGGAAACAGAAAGACTAGAGCTAGCTACAAAGTGCTCCTGATGTAAAGGGCTGGACACGACATCTGTTTAAGCACAGTGGGCTTCAGCAGTTTTAATGTATAACAGGAACACAGCGCCCTGTTTTACTGAGGGTGAGAGTTAAGGAATGTTCTAGAGTATGTGCTGTACAAATTGGGAGGGCCAATAAGACAAAAGGCAAAGGCATGGAAGACACTTGGTTTTGGTGAAGATGTTATGAGTTTAAAATGCCATCACAGAAGGAAGGTCTTCTAAAACACAGGATAAGAGGAAGAGGTTCAGATCTGGGGTGCTGGAGAAAGGACCAAAGGAATTAGGAAGTATCCAACCTGCAGCCTAGAGACTCCATACACCCCAGAATAGCTGAGTGAGGTTCAGTGCACCCTTGGATGATAATGTCATGTCACAAGTCTAAACTTGGACACTCTGGAACAGAACTATTTGTTCCCTTTAAATATCAGCTACATCACTTTGCTCAAAGAGATATTTCTTAAAGTAAAATGTCTTAAGAGCAATCACATAGTATATGTAGCTACTTGGAGTCTCTTATTAAAATGGTCATGGAGCCACGGCCAATAGATAAACCAGGTGCTGTTGAAAGCATATTATTTTAAAACACTGTGAGGCCGGCCATAAACTCATTGGTAGACCATGTGCCTGGCATGCTTGAAACTGCTCGGTCCATCCTCATTGGCATAGAACAGGTAAACAAAGACATTACTTATAGGCGGAATTAGCAACTGGGCTTGAGGTCCACAGCAAAGACCAGCTTAAGTTAGTCAAGCACCTTGGCGAAAAAGATGTATGGCCTTCAGTGTGGCCAGACCTCCTGGCTCCCACCCCCATCTGCCACAGCACCAAGAGCTGCCACCTGTCATGATGCTGCCAAAGTGGACAGCAGTAAGAGACTCTTCGACTCCCTGTTTCCTAGAACCTTAAGTTTACTACTAAAGACCAAAAAGATAAAAGCAAGGAGCATAACTGACAAGTTTTTTTTACACTTTTAAATATACCTTTATTTCTCAAACTGAAAGCTTTATTCCATCAGGTCCTAATACATTTGCACTGATAAGAAATCTCATTTGCGCCACGTAAGAAGGTGAGTGACTGGTACCAAGGAGGAACCCCGTATCTCTAGGCACTGCTAAGGAACAGTTCAAGCCTATGCAAAGACAGAAGGAAGAGCTTCTAATTGAATCCAATGGAAGTTTTACTTTTCATCCATATTAATTTGGAAATAGATGCTTCAGGAAAATCAAATTTTCACACACACACACAGGCCAGATAGCTAGATTCTCTTTTGTAAAGACCAAAGATCATGTTAACTAGCTCCATCCTCTTCAGTGGATGGTCAACTCACCTTCCTACATAAACACACATGAGAATTTGCACCAAATCTCACTAGCCAGGTAAAACTCTAGAACTCAAAACTCTGGAAGCTTATACTTTAAAAGTATTCTTTTAAGTGATAGGTAAACAAGATGTAGGCACTTGAATTAAAACAAAAACAAAACAAAAAAACAACTTTTTTTTTTCCCTCAGAGAGCCGCACAAATAACCCTGAGAGGTTGCCTGGACTTTTTAAGAATCTCTCCTCTACCCTCTCTCTGGATCCAACTGGTTAATTTAGACTGCATTCCAAAGTCAGCTGGGAAATTCTGTCTCAGATTAGTGATGTAAATCCAACTTTGAAAATTAGAAAATCTTTCAATTTATAGAATCACCTCCAAGGGTTTTCCCTAGTATAAACCCTGTTAAATACTCAAGAAGTAATGCCAGGGGCAGGGGTGGGCGTCAGGGCTGCCTGCCTCATCCCTAGATAACTATACTTTAATCCAGCCTCTACAGGAAGCCCTTGAGCTAAGACTAGCAGCATCCTGAAACAGGGTCCCAGTACCAGAAAGATCACTAGAAGGCAGCTGCTCCCAAAGCTCATTATGAGTGGTGCCATTTTCCAAGACTGAGCTGTACTGGGCAAAATCCTGGCCAACCATGAAGAAAGGGGCTAGCACTCTCAGAGGTCAGTTGGAAGGAGAGCAGACTCTGGGCTTTAGTGAGGCAATGACTACTGCATTACCACAAAGCACAGACAGACACACACACGCATATCACTATGACACAAGTTCCAAATTAAGTTAGACAGGAGAGAGAAAACACTGGAAAGCCAAAGAAAAAACAAACAAACAACAACAACAACAAAAAACCCATCAAGAACCAACAATCTTCCCTATTCAACTCCACTCAGCTGGCAGGCCCAGGTGTAGGCCATGCCTCACCCCAAAGGCAGTCACCAGAAATCTGACTTAGAGGCATGAGAAGTTAGCCTCATCACCACATTGCAATGATTGACCAAGGAACAGCATCTTTCTACCACGGTAAGGCTGAAGAGCAAGCTTGAAGCTCTAAGCCAAAAACCAAGAGTGTGCATCTGCACGCTCAAGGGTAAAGATGCTGTTTTCAGACCAGCTGCCCCTGACTGAGAAATAGAATGGGAACACCAACTCAGAAAGCAGACCTGAGTTCCAAAGGAAAAAAAAAAAAGAGCAAATGAAAGACTGCTTCCATTTAGGCTACAGCCTGCTCTTGCCCTTCAGTGCCCTCTGCCAAGGCCAGGTTTCACATTACACACACACACACACACACACACACACACACACAACTGGATTCAGTACAACGGTGTCTGGTGCATACGTGAGTAGCACAAAAGGCAGGTTTCAGATAAAACTTCCTGACATCTGAAGTGCAAGGTTACCTAGCCTGTTTCTGGTCTGGCAGAAGGCTTGCACAGAGCAGGTAGGGACAACTCTAGCCCAGAGATCCACAAACCAGGGCTCGTATCTTAAAAAGGGAGCTTTGGTTAACACAACTTTTCATTATAATGGTTCTAGAACACACATCAATTCTCCAACCACAAAACAGCTAGGCAAACTAAAAAGAACCTATCAAGGGCACCATCATCCAGCAGTGGTTTACAACTTCTGTGTCTCCTCTCTCCATCCTCAGAAGACAACTATGGCCAGACTGGAAAAATGTATATATATATAAAGCAGAAAGAATTCCAAGAAGATGCCAGAAATTTTCCAGTGCCTTAATTGTCCCCAAAACTTGTCAGCTGAAACAGTCTTGATTTCCTCTTCTATTAGCAAGTGCTTACATTGAGGGAGGCTCCAACACACTTCAAAAGCTTTGATTGGGCAAACCTAGTTCTGTGCAAACATGTTCCCCTTTGATTACAACTGTAGCCTTTTAAGGTCATGGATGACCAATAGTTCTCAAAGTTGGGTTCGTTTTTCATTTCCTTCCTTTAACCCCAAAACAGTTCAGGTCCCCCTCACAAAACCTAAAGCCAATGAATTCAAACCTAAGATTCAATGGGCAATAGAAACTAGTTATACTAAGTCTTCTGGTGACCTAATGTAACATGGCTGCAGTGAAGATACATTTGGATCAACTCTTACAGGGACTAATATAGCACATTCCAGAAGCAACTTGAAAACACAGCACTAGAAAAAGGTCAGCCACTTAATTTTTACTACAGCTTTTTTGCATAAGGAAAACTAGATTGCTTAGAGAGATACAAAGCAATCGTTTGGATCTTTGGATTTTTACGGCCACTGAAGAAAGTAGCAATTGAGATCATGGATTTGATGGAATCACTCTAGAAATCAAGCTTGCTGGCAACACTGAATCTTTCTCCCAGATACCCTAACAGCGATGCATTCTAAAATATCCCACAGAAAATTTCAAAACAGGGAAATCTAAATCTCTCTTCTGAACCCACTAGGTAAAACCATAGTCACCTAGATCCCTCCCTGTGGACTGCTTGCTTTGGGCCAGCAATTAACACTGTTTTCCTTCCAAAGTTCAGAACAGAAATATAATAATGCTTAAATCTACAGAATAAGGAAGATCATTCTTGGCTCTCTGAACTCTTCCCTAGGTATACCAGATATCAAAGAGCCTTGGCAGCTAGAACACCCAGGGCCAGACTTGACACTAAACCCTTAGTCCCCTACAACTTGGAGGAAGTGGAATCCTAGAATGGCTCCACTGGCCACTCTCTTCTCCTGAAGTCCCTGCATTCTCCTGCCACGGAAACTCTCTGCAGAATGCAATGGCTACTTTCGAAGGGATTGGTGAAGAACAGTCACTGGACTCCAGCAAAAATCTTTTTCATATTGGGAAAGATGTGCCAAATGGGCTTCCAATTAAAACATAGGAAGAACTTCACGTCAGTCATGACAGTGACTCCGGGCACAATGCTCTCCTAACTCAGGAAGAGCAAACAAGTCAGTCCTCAGAGAGTCAATGGGGGTGGGGCGGGGGGGGGACATATCATTCAGTAAGAATTCCTTAAAGAAAAAACAAAATGAAAAAACCAAAACCAAAACATCCGTGTTTCCTATTGACAATCACCGCCCCTCCACCACAATTCTACTTTAACATTATGTTCCACATTTTATTTTGTTTTCAAGTTACATTTCAAGAAAAAGGTCATTTTTTTTCTCCACAATATCTCATAATTCCTTGATAAAGCACAGCATATACCATAAACCACTTCCAACCAGATCTCAAGTCTCCAGCTATTGGCTTTGGTTTATTGATGAATGAAATTCTCAGCTCTGCCGATGGGGACTAGACATACACAACTTAGTCCCGTGAGTGAAGGTTCAGTCACAAAGAGCACCCTCGTGTTTTATCAGTTTGGGGAGCTGACTAAAATCGACACAGTGAGAGACTATCAGCCCAGCTTCCACATGACTGCCGAGAATCCTCAGTGAGAGAGCCTGCAGGGGCTACCGCGGACTCGGCTGTGGAGAGCGCCTAGAACGCTTCTCATATGCTGTCCAACTCTCCCAATCTCAGAGACTGTGCCGAGCTCAGATCCCATGTGCTAATGTCTGGGAAGTGACGTGTTAGTGACTATCTTAGAAAGATGGTGAGAAGTCACGCTTCCTATTGCATCTCCCAGAGTGGCACTGTACTATGGGTCCTTTTAGGGTTGGCTCACGATAGTCTGTGGACCTATTCCACTGGGTACACAAAGAAAAACAGAGTCAGAGCTGAGTTCCCCTTTAAAAGCCAAACTCCTACATCTAGAAAGAGGCTCTCCTACCTGAGAGCCCCTGCCCTAAATGGGTTCCCACTGTGGAAACCCTCAGGTCTTGGGTTAGTTACAGGGCAGCCATGTAGGGTAAGGCTGGCTGTAGGTAACTGGAGGGTGAGCAACGTAATAGTTGTTGAAGTTGCCGTCACTGACATAAGGAGCTGGCTGGTAGTAACAGGTGACATTGGTGGCACTGGGGATGATGTTTTGTTCTGCCAGCACACGCAAGGCCAGGAGAGAGATGAGGTTCAGGGTCTGCCTGCGTTCGTGCCCCATGAGGCACACGGTGCTCTCATTCACAACCCTGCGAAGAATCATGAGGTAGTCGTACTTGCTTCTCTCCTCGTCGGCGAAGTGGTTCTGAAGGTAGGTCTCCAGCTTCCTCTGCTGTTCCAGGATGTCGGGGAAGTCGATGAAAAACCTGGAGCACATGTAACGCTCCAGAGTCTTGATCTCCTCCTGGTCCGCAGGCCTGAAGTCCCGCACAAGAAGGTTGCTGTACTTAAGGAGACCCCCACCTCGGATTTCTTCAGGGTTCTTGGTGGCGATCAACCTGTTCTGAAGATGGTCAAAGGCTTCCTCAAAATCCCCGTACATACTCTCCCCGATCACTGTGGGGTGGAAATGCTCGGAGATGGGATTACTGGAGCAGTCATAGAAAAAGAGCAAAGAATCTAGGATGATCTGGAAAGAGTCCACGCTGAACTCAAACTGACGCCGGATGGAGTCGACAAACTTGAGTTCCACGTTCCTCCCGTTCTTGTTGGAGAGGGAAATCAGGCTCCAGCGGTCTGTGTCTGTGCAAACCTTCACCAGCTTCTGCACGTACGCCTCCTTCAGGGTGACCGGGCTGATTTTGAGCTTATTCACGCCCTCTGGCAGAAAGTTCAGAAGGGAGCACAGAACCACATCTCTCACCAGCTGAAATTCTGCCTCTGTGGGAAGAGCCACGTGAAAGATCAGATCCAGATCTTTGCAACCCAAGCCATTGTCTTTGACCAAAACATGGCCAGCTGCAGAGCCGTTCAGCCGGACGTCCTGCACTTTGATGCCTGCCTCCTCCAGCCGGCTTCGGACAGTTTGGACAATGTCCTTCAGGGTTATCTCCAAGGTTGGAAAGTTGCCTCGTCCATGGATGGGTACGACCTCAGTCAGGACTTCATGCAGCCGGCTAACCTGATCCCAGTTGAGCACGCTGAAGGACTCAGAGTCCTTGGTACTGCTGCCCTCCTCTGCCATCTTAGGGGATGTTCTGGCCAGGGGAAGCTGAAAGGTAAAGGGTGAGAACCAGTTAGGATTCGCATGGACCAGGAAAGCCAGTAGAGGATTCAGTGCTAAGGCACTGACGTATCCCTGAACAACTCCCTGCAAAATAGCAGTCAACAGCGCCTGCTGCTCAGCACGGCTGTGAACATGAAACACATTTAAACACCAAGAATAACAGCCACCAAGGCACAATCTTCACTCTAAAGGGTGATAACGCATTGCTTTACTTTGTGTGAGTGCTCCAACTGCTGCTGGTGTGCTAGACCTGTGTGGGGGAGGGGTGGGGTGGACTGTTTTATGTGAAGAATGGCAAACTAACCATGTCATCTAAACAACATTGAAGGACCTCTAATGGCAGAGAGAAATAGAACCTGCATGTTTTACTAATTTTCTCCAGTTTCTATTGAAGTTATTTCTGTTTTTAGCTCTGTAACTATACCTTAAACTGGTGGATGCCTAAACCTTAATAACCAGTGCAACACACACACGCACACTCACACACACTCACTCTCCTCTCTCTCTCTCTCTCTCTCTCTCTCACACACACACACACACACACACACACATACACTCATACTTACACATACTCTGTCACACAAACACACACTCACATATATACGCACACATACACATTCACACACATATACACACATGCACATACACAAACACATACACACAAACACACACACATACACACCACTGTTCCATTTGCTCCCTAAAGAGTCCACATCTCAGCTCTGGAAGACAACCACTTCCTTTTCCTATATGACCAGAATCTGTCCTACAACAAATACCATGACACGTGAGGCAGAACCAAGTTGTTTGTCTGACCATAGTGGTGGTCAAGCAGAAGTCAGACCAACTTTGCAGTAAGAATATTCTTCTGCAAGGATGCAAGGGCTCGAGGCAGGTCAAGTTCCTCAGAACTGAGGGCCTTCCTCAGAAGAGTTCCCTGACGCTCCTCCTTAAGGGGAATAAAGTTAAAATGGAATACCAGAAGGGAAAGAAAGCACTTCTCATTCCTCTCATGATAGAATCACAAAGTTTCCCAAATAATTGTGAGTGTACATGCATGTAGCACACTGGGGACTGAAGCCTGGCCCTTGAGCATGCTGGCAAAGTGCCTACCCCTGAGCTATACTTTCACCCAGTACCCGGCAAGGATATCTCACTTTAAAAGAGATGAAAATGATGAAGCCCTGGAAATCCCAATACATAAAAAGCAGACACTGGTATCTTAGAAACCCAAAGTGCTCGTGGACTCATGCCGATTCAATGTCATGTAGACAGACACAAAAGCTCAAACAAAGCCTCCACGCAGTCTTCCGATTTCACCATGAATGGTTTCCACCCTGCAAAGCTATGTGCGGACAGTATTCAGCCAGCCACGGTTCCATTGTGTGTAAGCTGCTGCTTTTTAATGCACATCAGTGCATTCTCCTTGGGCTCCAACATGGATTTCGAGCCTGCCTCAGTCCAGGGATTTGCGGCTGTAACAGTGCCAGGGTACCCAGTAGTCACACGGAGATGAGCTTTTACGGTTCCCATCACAGAGACTGACAATACAAGATGTGGTTTACACAGCTCCGGTGGGAGGAGGCAAACACAACACACAGACAAAAGAGAGGCTTGTCCCCTGTTGGGGCTAAAGGAAAGCACAGAAGTGTTCACTTATGGAGAAGGGGACACAAAATAACAAAGCCATGGTGAGCGGTCGCTGGTACACCAGAGGGGAGGAAAGCAGGTGCATAGCCGGAGATAGCGACAATCCAGGGAGTCTCTCGAGCCAGCACAGGAACATACAAGTTCAGGGACTGACAATTTGTTCAGCTGGAAACGGCCCACCCTAACCCAGGATCAAAGCAGGCTCTAGTGGGCTCTGGGGCTGGGTGCCTCTGTGCTTGCTATAGCAGAGCATTTGCAAGGGGAAGATAAAAGAGGCTTTAAACGTCCGCAGCTATTTAGATCAGCCTAGCATGGCCCGCCTCAGTGATGGACAGCCTGGATGCACACCTAACATCTACTGGGGCTGGCATTTGCCTTCCAGCCAGATTTGGGACAGCTGGGTTCTCTTTTCTCTGTGCTCACTGTACACTTGGTGGTTCTTTGTCACCCCCCACCCCGCCTTTTTATGAGCAGTATACAGGAGACTTATGCCTGAGCAAATCCAAATGATTTCAGGAAGGTATTATGGTCTGAGCCTTGTTTTGAGCCGCAGCTAGAAGCGAGACCACCTGTAGTCAGGTGAGGTGGATTTCAGTCAAGCACACTGGTTGAGTTGCTTCATGCGGTCTGTCACCTGTTACACTTCCAAGGCTCACATGTTTGATGCCATATCTGAGAAGTCACAATGTGGTCAACAAGTCAGATGAAAGGAACAATTTTAAGAAAAATCTCCAAAAAGAGCCCTATGTGGTGCTGAAGTCAGAAGTGTTCTAGAACAAGACAGAAGGGCTCTCTGGGACCACAGAGAATCCAGGAACCATTAACTCTTCCCTTTGGGGTAAGACCCACATGTGTAAAGACTTTCACCCAGCTTTATATTGGCAGCAGATTCAAAGTTAAAACCTATGTTAGACTGGGTACCTGTACGGTTCACAATAGATGAGGAGCAAAAATAGCCAGAAATGTTCTAAAACAATGGAAATGAGCTAACTCAGCTTGTAAGGGACGGGAAAGAGCCATAAAGATGGAAACTATCATCAGCACAAAAGGACAAATTGGTGGGACAGAATTTTTTAAATATGTAAATAAAGCACATATGAGAATTTACTATGAAGAAGGAAACATTTCAAAACAGTAAAGAAGTCACACATGGGGCCTCATGCCTAGGAGCACAACACTGAAAGAGGTTGAGATAGGAGGACTGTTAAGTTTGAGACTAGCCTAGGCTAAAGAGAGCCAAACAAACAAAGATGCAAACAAGCAAAAACCTCAATCCATAAATAAAAAGAAATGGTGAGGAGGAGGGGGAGGGGAAGGAAGAGAAGAAGATTTGGATAATTTATATATATTTAAAAGCTGGTTCCACGTCTCCTGCTAAACTAAGATCTAGTTGGTTGGACCACTGACTAAAGACTAAGATCTAGTTCAGCGGCTCTCAATCTTCTTAACACTGAGACTCTTTAATACAGTTCTTATTGTGATGGCCCCCAACCATAAAATTATTTTCATTGCTACTTCATAACCCACCATGGTGGCAAAGTTCAGTCTTATGGGGGACAGCAGACAGCTCTGGTGCACAGTCATGGGCTCCTCGAAGAACAACGTGAGTCTTAACGTTTAAGTTCTGTTATCCATTCTGCTCCTGCCCCCTCTCCTCTGATGTCCGGTACAGTTGCAAGGATGCACAGAGATTTTTCATAAAGCTGGGAGCGCACATCACATCAGCAGAAGAGGGATAAGTGATGTAACATGCATATACAGCCATGTCCAGAAGCATGCAGTTGTTCAAAAGAACAGTGCCTGCTCTGTGTGTAAGAATATAAAGTGTGTGGTGCTCCTGCAGAAGCTCTGAGTATAAACATGCACACCCACGTTGAGTGGCTCACAGCATCTGTATGTCAAACTCCAGGGGATCTAATGCCTTCTTCTGGCTTCCCAGGGTGCCTAATGCTCATGTGTACAGACCCACACACAGACACATACATATACACATAATTAAAAATAAATTTCTAAATATATATAAAGATTCTCGTAACTATTATTGAAATGCAAATGATTTTAAATATCAAAAGTATATCCCTGCATTACTTCAACATTAGTTTTACAAGAATAAATGCAATTTACAGCCCTTGGTACTTAGATAACACACCAGACCTTGGTTCAACAGTTTCCATTAACTGCTTTAAATCAACACTTATGTAACCTCCACACAGAAGAATCACATGAAACATACATACTCAGCTCAGGAAAGGCCCTGGCCCAAGGCAAATTCTAGTTAGCAGAATTAACACAATAGTGGCGAGGAGACAAATGAACGTGATGTGACGTCAAGGCAGTGTTTGAGGAACAGCTCCACTGTGGGTTCTACATAGAGGGAGCCGGCAAAGGTGGCTGCAAGAACCGGTCACTGGTTTGAGCTGAAGCTCACTTCCTGGAGCCTATCACCCACGGCAGAGGGAGCCAAGCGGAACAGTGCTTTCTTCTGCCTTTCTTGTAGGTTTAAGAACGAAGAGAAGGCCCATCACCCCTCAGCACTCTCCCCCTCCCCGCCCTTTCCCCTTGAATTCCCTTTCACTGTTCCTGAATGCTATCTTTTTAAAAATGTGTATCTTCCTCATAAGCTTTTCAGGTTGGGCTAAGTGCCATCCATGGGCGAACCAAGCCTGGGCACAGACCTGAGACTTCTAGGTAAAATATGGGCCTGGAACAAAGACACCCCAGCAGGGGAAGAGGTTGTCTCTCCTGTGTACGAGAGGACTCTAGAGGTAAAGAGACTTAAAACCCTGGACATTTAAGAAGAAGGAAAAGTGATTAAGAATAGTGTTCACCACACACCATGCTGCCTCTCACCTTGGTGATCCAAGTGAGGGGAAACCACAGGTTGGGCTTATTTCTTATTCATTATAAAGTACAGGGTAGATGGCATGTAAAACCAAAAGAAATACCACAAAGAAGCCGCCTGCTGCAATCAATTCCCAGGTAACCTTCACAAGCCAAGCTTCCCCATCCCCAATTTAAACAGTATGGCTCATAAAGGAGCCCAGGGCCTTGTCCCTGGAGCCAAGGTCCTAATTCTTGGAACTGTTGACTCCTCCCTCAGGTCCAAGGGGCCCTGGAGGGCAGGAGGTTAGGGGACATCAGGGAACAGAGGTCAAAGCCCACAAGTGCACTAGATAACCTCTTCTTAGTGCTACTTAGACAAGCATTTCTAGAACAGAAAGTTATTGGTTCCAATCCAAAAAAAAAAAAAAAAAGCAAGCTGCCTTCTGCTGACCATGGCTCCTCACCCTCCAATGCCTCCTGTTTGAGTGGATCACACTTTACTGCCTGCTCTA